ATATATATATATATATATATAAACTTTTTTCATTAGTTGCTCAAAACATTACAATGATCTTGACATATTATACATTTGATTCAAATGGGGTGTGAATTCTTATTTTTCCATGTGTACAGATTGAGGATCACATTGGTTTTACAGCCATGTTTATACATACAGCCATACTAGTGTCTGTTGTATTCTGCTGCCCTTCCTATCCCTCCTCCCCTTCCCTCCCCTCCCCTCACCTCTCTCTACCCACTCTATTGTGACACTTTTCTCTCTCTCTCTCTCTTTTTTCTTCCCCCTCACACCATCTTATATGTAATTTTGCCTAACAATGAGGGTCTCCTTCCATCTTCGGTGGGATTCCCCTTCTCTCTCCCATTCCCTCCCACCTCTCGCCCTATTTAATGGTAATCTTCTTCTCATGCTCTTCCTCCCTGCTCTGTTTTGAGTCGCCCCCCTTATATCAAAGAAGACATTTGGCATTTGCTCCTTAGGGATTGGCTAGCTTCACTCAGCATCAGACATATGTGTATATATATATATATATATATATATATACATTTTTTTAAAGATAGATAGATAGATAGAGAGAATTTTTTAATATTTATTTTTTTTTAGTTCTCAGCAGACACAACATCTTTGTTTGTATGTGGTGCAACCTGGGCCGCACGCATGCCAGGCGAGCGCACTACCGCTTGAGCCACATCCCCAGCCCCAACATATGTATATTTTATAGTGTAAAAATCTCTCTAAAAATAAAGCATGTTCTTTATGTACAGTTTGAAATTATAGACAAAAAAAAAAAAAAGGAAATAATGTCTCTCTCACAATTCCACCACCCAGGATTAAGAATTATTGAATTTTTAGCAATTAAGGTTAGACCCCTTGGGGTAGCTCTGAGTTCACAGGTAGAAGAACTTCTTCCCAGATGACTGAAGTCACAGAGGAAGTTCAGGCAATTTTCTTCATTTTGGACCAAATAATTAGAATAAATGAAGAGTTAAGAAAGAAAAGAGTGAATGCATGCATTATTTCCTAGGGCTGCTGTAACCACAACCTAGATGACTCAAAACCACCAAAATATATTATCTAGAGTTCTGCAGGTAGAATTCTAAAATCAGAGTCAGTGGCCATGTTCCTTGGAGACTCTGGATGGACTTCTTCCTTTCCTCTTTATACCTTCAGGTGATGGTTGTCAGTCCTTTGTGCTCTTTGACAGCTAGCTGCATAGCTCAAACCTCTGCCTTCATCTGAGCTTGTTTTTCTTCCTTTGTATCATCTGTCTTTTTATTTCTTTTCTTTTTGGTTTCTGGTGATTGAACCCAAGGCTTCACACATGTTAGGCAAATGTTCTACCACTGAGCTATACCTCAGCTCCACGCTGTCTTTTTGTAAGGTTGCACTCAGTCAAGTTAGAATCAGGGCCCATTTGCCCCAGTATAATCTTATTTTCACCAGTTACATGTAGTATCTAGTTTTCCCTATTTGAAATAAGTTACATTCTGAGGTGTGCTGGGGAAGGGTTAGGATTTCAAGGTATTTTGTTGAGGACACAATACATCCCATGACAAACAGCCCTTAAGATACAAGCTACGGATGTAAAGGTTTATAAAGTAACTGCAAATGTCACACAAGCACATACTATGCTTTTCTTTCCTTTTTTCAAAATCTACACTTTCTTGATGGCAGGGGGAAAAAGGGCAAAGGAAATGATATGATATTTGATTTTCAGAGAAATAGTGACTCTTATAAGGTCTAGGTGCCAGAGGCAGTTTTGAAAAAATGACAACCATGCCTATCATTAGTGTAGCCTTTCATGGTTTATAAAATGCTGTCACACACATTATCACTTTGATCTTGACAACATCCCTGTGAAAGGGATAATGCTGTTATTACCATTTCCTCCTTTTTACACAAATGGCATCAGAGATTAAAGCAGGTTAAATAGCAGGCAAGTCACAGCCTCCTGACATCAGATTGTTTTTTCCTACCACCTACAGCACTTTGGGAAGTTCAGAAGAAAAACTGTTCTCGTCTATGACTCCCAGTATTTCATTAAGCAGGTATCAGCAGATATTCCCTTAAGCAATATCAACCTGGGGGAGTCATCAGGAAGCAATACAATAATAAACCCACCAATCTTTAAGAATGGCCAAGGTAGGTGCTTCTGCATGCTTTGAAATTTTCTGTTAACCCAAAGATTTAACAGGGAAACTATACTTTTCTTCAAGGTCTTCTCTTCACATCTGAGGAATTACGTGCGTAGGATGTCTGAGTCCATTTTGGGATGCTATCACCAAACATCCTGGACTGCATCACTTATAAACAACAAAAAATTTGTTGCTCATAGTCCTGGAGGTTGGAAAGCCCACGGTTGAGGCAGCACTAGATTAAATGTCTCCTGAGGACCTTCTGATGCACTGCTGGTGTCTTCTCAGTGTGCCCTCACATGACAGAAAGGGAAGGAAGAAGCTGTCCCCTCTGGCCCCTTCAGTAAGGTGTCAGTCTTGCTCACCAGAGCAGAGCCTTCCTAGCCCGATCACCTTCTAAGGGCTCCACCTCTTAATACTAGAATACTACATTGGAGTTTGTGTCCCAACATTAGAATTTTTGGAGGACAAAAACATCCAGACCCTAGCAAGCAAAAGGAGAATCTTACAAAGAGAAGATGTCATCAAAGGGCAGGGATAATTTGGGGCTTTAAAACAATTTTATCCTGGAGATGCACTATGATCCTCACTCACCTTTTTTTTTTTTTTAAATGTAATGCAATAGTAATACACATAGTTGAAACAAAAATCAGAACAGCACAAAAGTACATGTTGAACATGACACAATCCTGTTTATGTGCCCAGTGCACAGTTTCCATCACCTGCAAATATATTTTCAACCTCCCTCACCATAGCTTAGTCCAGGCAGGTGGCTGTGGTGGCTTAAATGTGGAGTCTTCCCAAAGGCTCTTATGTTGAAGGCTTGGTCCCTGAGGCAACAGTGTTCAGAGGTGGGGCTCTTGGGAAGTGGTTGGATCGTGAGGGCTCTAACCTCATCAGTGCATTAATCCATCAAGAGATTGATAGCTGGAATGGACTATTGGGAGGTGGTGGAAACTATAGGAATTGAACCTAGCTGGAGGGAGTGGGTCCTTGGGGGATATGCCCTTAGGCATTATATCTTGTCCCAGGCTCCATTCTCTAATCTCTATTTCTCAGCCACCATGAATGAGGCAGGCAGCTTTGCTGTGCCATGCCCTCTTGCAATGTTTTGCATCAGCTCAGGCCTAAGCAATGCAACTGGCTGACCTTGGATTGAAACTTCTGAAACTGTGAGCCAAACTAAATGTTTTTTTCCTTTAAGTTGTGGTTTTTTTTTCAGTTTTTTTGCCACAGTAACAAAAAAACCTTATAGTATAATTGCTATAACAGAATACCATATCATAAGCCTTGGAAATTTATTTCTCACAGTTCTGGAGACTAGGCAGTTCAAGGTCAAGGTATGAGCAGATTCATGGTTCATAGATGACTGGCTTCTTCCTGCATCTGCCTATGGTGGAAGGAGTGAAGGGGTCTCTGACAAAGGTACCAATCTTATTCATGAGGTGTAACTTTCATACACGATTACCTACCATAGGCCCTACTTTTTAATGCCCTCACCTTGGGGGTTAAGATTTTGTCTTAGTCTGGAGACTACCATGCTAAGTGAAATAAAAAATCCCCAAAAACCAAAGGTCAAATTTTCTCTCTGATATGTGGATACTAACACACAATAAGCAGGAGAGGGGGAAGGGAAGAACAGAAGTTTCACTGGATTAGACAAAGGGGAATGAATGGAAGGAGGGGGATGGGCATAAGAAAACAGTAGAATGAATTTGGAGATAATTTTCCTATGTTCACATAGGAATACAGGACCAGTGTAACTCCACATCATGTATGACCATAAGAATGGGATCCTAATTAGAATAAGTTATACTCCTTCTATGTACAATATGTCAAAATGCACTCTACTGTCGTGTATATCTAAAAAGAACAAACATAGAAAAGATTTTGTCTTGGTTCACTCATGTTGCTGTAACAAAATACCAATATACTGGGTGATTTATAAACAGGTAAATTGATTGCTCATGGTTATGGAGTCTAGGAAGACCAAGGGGAGGGAGGGGCACTGACAGGTTTGTTGTTTGGTTAGGCCTACTCTCTGTATTCAAGATGGTGCCATAAATGTTGTGTTCTTACAAGATGGAATTTATGGAAAGGCAAAGGGGAGAGAAGAAGCTCTCTTTCCCCACTTTTATAAGAACATTAATATCATTTATGAAGCCCCACTTTTTTTTGTGGAGGTACTAGGGAATGAAAGAACCTCATTTCTTCATATTGTCACATTGGTGATTAAGCATGGCAGGTTTCAACTTATAAATTATAAATGACATAACATTCAGTTCATAGCACCTCCAACATTTTACATAAATGGTAGCATACTCTATACTGTCTTCTGGATCTTGCAATGTTTACTCTCAATAATGTATCTTGGAAGTATTTTTATAGTAGAATATAAAGAGCTTTTTAATTTTATGTGTCATTGTACTGTATTCTATTATATGATTATATCATCAATTATTTAATGAGTCCCCTATTGAAGGGTACTTGGGTTGTTTCAAATTGCTATTATGCACAATGCTAAAAGAAGCTAGCTCATAGACCATTTAGTATATACACAATTAGTACATACATAAATTCCCAGAAATGAAATTGCTGGGTCAAAGGATAAATTCATTTGTTACTTCAATTATTGTGTTAGTCAGCTTTCTGTTAATCCTTCCAAGTTTTTGTGAAGAGAACCTACAGTGAATTTTTGATGGAAAGTAGAGAGGGTCTTTCCACTTAATTACCTGGAAATCCTATGTGAAAGGTATGTTTATTCCCATTTTACAGCTGAGAAAATTAAGACCTAGAGTGGTATAGTAATTTTCTCAACTTTTAAGAATTGGAGCTGGGATTTTGATTGAGGGATGCTGCATTAAGGGCAGAGAAAGAGAGAGAAAAAGAGTACAGGTGCAGGCATGAGTGTAGATGTGTATACATGTATGTACAATTTTGGTGAAAAAGGAAGAGAATTTTTATATGAATAGTTAAGGTCCTCACCTCTACCTCACACCATATACAAAAATTGACTTGAAATAAATCCAAAAGTATAAAACTCTTAGGAGAAAGTATAGGAGTCTTTTTGTAACCTTGGATTAGAAAGTGGTTTATTGGATACACAAACAGGCAACAAAAGAAAAAAAAATTGGACATTATACCAAAATTAAAAACTTTTGTGCTACAAATAATAGCATCAAAATAGTAAAAAGTTAGATCACAGAAAGGGAGAATTATTTTGCAAATTAAATATCTGGCATGGAACTTGTATTGAGAATATGTAAAGAATTTTATGATTCAACAGAAAAAACCAATCAAATAAAAAAAAATGGGCCATGGATTTGAGTAGACATTTCTGCAAAGAAGATATATAAACAATAAATAAATTCTTAAAAAATGTTCCATAGTTAAAGTGTTCTGTTCAACATCTCTAGCAATTAGAGAAATTCAAATCAAAACTACTCTAAGATTTCATCTCACTCCCATCAGAGTGGCAATCATCAAGAATACAGCAACAATAAATGTGGTTGAGGATGTGGAGAAAAAGGTACACTCATATATTGCTGGTGGGACTGAAAATTGGTGCAACCACTATGGAAAACACTATGGAGATTCCTCAGAAAATTGAGAATGGAACAACCATTTGACTCAGCTATCCCACTTCTTTGTTTATACCCAAAGGACTTAAAATCAGCCTACTATAGTGACACAGCCACATCAATGTTTATAGAAGTTAAATTCACAATAGCTAGACTATGGAACCAACCTAGGTGTCCTTCAATAGATGAATGGATAAAGAAAATGTGGTATATATACTCAATGGAATATTACTCAGCTTTAAAGAAGAGTGAAATTATGGTGTTTGCCAGTAAATGGTTGGAGTTGGAGAATATCACACTAAGTGAAATAAGCCAATCCCACAAAACCAAAGGCTGAATGTTTTCTCTAATATGCAGATGCTAATTCACAATAAGTTGGGGGGCACTAGGGAAGAATAGTGTACCTTGGATTAGGTAGAGGGAAGTGATGGGAAGGTAGAGGAGATGGGGATAGGAAAGATAGTAGAATGAAACATACATTATGACTGTATGTATATATGTGACTACATGACCAATATGATTCTGCAAAATGTATACCTAGAAAAATGAGAAATTATATCCCAACTATGTATGATATAGCAAAATGCATAAATGCATTCTACTGTCATGTATGACTAATTAAAACAAATTAAAAATTAAAAAAATGTTCCATAGTTTTAGTCATTAGTAAATAAAAATCACATGTAAAATGATATATCACTTTATACCCAATAAGATGTCTAAAATAAAAATGATAGATAATAACAAGTATTGATGAGGATATACAGAAATAGAACCCTTATTATGCTGCTAATAAGAATAAAAAGTGGTATAGCCACTGTGGAAAACAGTTTGTCATTTCCTTTGAAATATTAAACATAGAGTTAACATATGACTTGGCAATTCTACTTTTCGTTGTATATTTCCAGAGAAATGAAAATATATGTAGACACTAAAACGTGTGCACAAATGCTTATTGCATCATTATTTATAATAGCCTCAAAGCAAAAACAACCCAAATGCCTATGAACTGAAGGATGGATAAATTAAATGTAGTATATCCATAAAATAAAATATTATTTGACAGTAAAAACAAACAAAAAGACAAACAAAACAAACAAACAAACAAAAAAAAACAAGGGAAGACACACAACATGAAAAGACAAGGGAAGAAAGTGCCCCAAACAAATCAAGACACCACACTATTAGAATCATTGGCAGCCACAGCAGAAGAAATTACAGAGGAGGAGTTCAGGATGTATATGGTTAAAATGTTCTATGAACTCAAGGAAGATATAAGAGAGAAAACACAGGCATTGAAAGGCCACTTTGACAAGGAGCTACATAAATAAATACAGGAAGCAAAGGTCACCACAAGAGGGAGATAGAGGTTCTTAAACAAACAAACAGACAGAAATCCTTGAAATGAAAGAAACAATAA